AATTCTTTCTACTTCCTTAAAAATATTTTAACCATTATAAGGTTCCTTGAAAATATTTCAAACACTCTAAGGGATTTTTAACATGGGAGATTCCTTCTCGCACTATCTTGTATGAAAACCGTCAATTTAACAAATGATGTTGAGGACAAACCCGATGGTTTTTCCAGATGAAGACCCCTATAAGAACTCAACCCAAACCAATTGGAAATCTTCAATTCTTCATCTAGATGGCACCCCGATGGAACATCATTATAATTTAAAGTTGGTGTGTATGAATAGATTGGAAGGTTGAAGATGAAGAGAAAAGTATACTAATTTTATGGTATCACCAAGTTAGAAATGATGCATGAATGGGTATTTATAGTTTGGAAATGTTTAGGGAAAAAAGGACAAATTCGAAATAAAATAAAATGAAAATTTGACCAAAATAGAATTTATGTGTCGACACATACTGTATAAAAAAGCTGCATGTGTCGACCTGAAGCACTCTATGCGTCGACCTGAGTAACTCAGTAGCTACAGGCTTTAAAACGTGAGTAAATGTGTCGACCTAAAATATGGATGTCTTGACACATAAAATAAGAGTTTCTTGAATTTCAGACATCTTTCAGTATGTGTCGACCTGTATGAGGCATGTGTTGACTTGTGACTTATAGAAGCTCACGGGCTTTAAAACGCAGTTATATGTGTTGACTTGAAACTCAGAGTATTGACACATGCAAGATAAAAAATGTGTAGAAAATGTTTTTCAATGAGCTTGGTCAATTTTAAAGTGATTTTTGATGATTCCTAAGACCTATGATACGGAGGAGTGCCACAAGACAAAGAGATGCAATTAATTTTACCGCCATGCCATCTTTCCCGGTTTTGACATCATGTAAAACACTATCTATTGAAGTTGTACTCATACCTCATGCTTCTTCCTTGCTTCCTGGGTACATAAGACTTTGATAATTTTTTAGTTAACATTAATCCATCTTCTGAAACCAGACCATGTAACAGAGGTCTGTTCAGGATCTATGTTATCAAAGGAACTTTGTACAGCATACTGTAGTGTATCAAGAGCACTATACTCAAACTGATATAAGAATTCATCAAGGGAGGTTAGACGGACATTTAGTATATGAAGAAACACTACGCCAAAAATGATTTTTTGTATCACCTAATTTAATAGCACTTTTAAAAAAAATGCTATTAAAATGGAAAAAACACATTTATAATAGCACTTTTTAATCGGGCGCTATTATATAATACAGACTAGGTAATTATGATAGCACTTTGTACCAGAACGCTATTATTAAACTTCTTTAAGATAGCACTTTGTATAAAACGCTATTATTTGACTACCTATATAATAGCATTTATTAAAAAGCGCTATCTTATATATAATAATGAATTAATTAATTAATTAATTAATTAATTGATAAAAAAAAAAAAAGTTATTTCCATTAGAAACTGAAACAAAATAAAAAAACACAGGAAGGAGATTCCAAATCCATTACCTCCGACGACACGCCGGCGACCGCGACGACAACTCAACTGCTTCTGCAAGCACAATATCGACGCACTCCGGCCCCCTGTAGCTCACCGGCAGCCACCACTGGGCGTTCGACTCCGACCTCCATCTCCAGCCACTCTCGGTTTTGCTTGCAGGTAAGCAATTTTTTTCCTCTATTTTCTCGATTTGTTGTGATTGTTGTTGGAGAACTTAAATGCTTGATTTGAATCTTGTATTTCTATTTTGTTGTTGTTCTTATTTTAAGAGAAAGATTGATTTTGTTTTGGGGTTGAAATGGATGAGAGATAGAAAAAACCATGGTTATTGTTCTGCAAGTTGTGGTCTTTTGTGAGAGAGAGTAAGAAGAAGAAGTATCACTGTCTAGAAAGAAAAGAGAGAACTAACATTTCTCTCTCAAGATGTGTGCATTATAATCCTTAACCTTTCAGCATAAGCTCTCAGTTTCTTGATAGTAGGAACAGTTTCTAACGAGTCTCTCCATGCTTCGAATTGGCCCGATTCTTCGCCGATGATCACTTGTGCTTCCATTGCTTTTCTTAGTCTGTCCTCTTTGTTAGCAGCCACTACCTCTTTAAGGTTGTCGACGTTGTAAACTTTGACTGATTCGAGGTCATCGACGCACGAACCTACGTTCCTCGGAACAGAAATATCGACGAAGAGGCGCTTTCGTCCCATTTCTTCGCTTGCGAAAGGAAGTTCCTTAACATGTTGTTTTAAAATCAAAGGATTCTCTGATGCCGTGCTTGAGAAAACTACATCCGCTTCGCCTACGCATTCGAGCATATCAGAAAGCGGTTTGTAGATTATCTCGACATCGTTTATTTCATCGCGGATTGCAGATACTCTCTCTTCGGTTCGATTAACTACTACCATCTTTTTACACCCTTTTGCAACCAAATGCTTGATCACAAGCTTCCCCATTTTGCCAGCTCCAATAACTAGCATTCTTGCATTTCCATGTGAGGCTTGATCAGGTAACTTCATCACTGCCAACTCGACCGCAGCCGAGCTCACAGAAACTGCTCCGGCCGAAATGTTGGTTTCGGTTCGGACTCTTTTGCCGACGGTGATTGCGTGCTTGAATAATCCACTGATGTTTCTTCCAAATCCATTAACTCCTTGTCCTGCTTTCACAACTTGCTTGACTTGTGCAAGGATCTGACCTTCTCCCATTACAAGAGAATCAAGTCCTGCTGATACTTCAAAAAGGTGTTGGGTTGCATCTTTGTTGTATAGCAGAAATAGATACTGTGAAAGCTCTGATGCAGGTATGCCACTTGTCTGCAAAACAAGATTATGTGCGTAGTTTATCAGAATTTTGCTGATGATCTCTTGTTTTAGTCCCTTCAACTTCAACGTTGATAAAACGCGTTTGAAGAAATCGAGATTAAGAACATTAAGCGATTTTCCCCACCATTCTGAAGGCGTTTCCGGTTCAAGGATTCGAGAAGAGAAACTATGGTCGAGTTTCTGTAAACCCGAAGTAAGCTGCTCTTTGCATACATTGTTGGCAATTGAATTGACTAATCTGTTAACAAGTTTAATCTCTTCTGAAATAGGTAGGAGAGTTTCGCAACGGTGAAGAGCAGATATTGTGTTTGCTGTGTTTGAGAGTACTGTCTCTTTAAGATATGATTCGGCTCGCGTCAACAAGTTTTTCTCGGCGAACTCTTCTGTCATTTCTAGAAAATGAGCTATGCATCTTAGCATAGAAACATTGGAGAGAGTAAATTCAATGTTAATTCCATAACAGAATTTTGCAGCTAGCTCAAATGCTTCTGCACCGCCCGGTACACTCGGGAAACTTATGCGCGAAACTTTTGAATCTCTTGATTCTAACAATAGTTTCTGAATTCTTCCACTACGAGAAACTAGAGGAAACTGTGAAAAAACAGTTGCAAACAACTTGTTAGTACTTCAACATTGAAACATTATTTTCATGCATATTAACAATCAATACATAAAAATGCTATTTTATGTTGTTCTTTTTACCTTGTGAAGTGATAAGCTTGAAGCTCCAATTTCAATGGTAAGATCACTAGAGACATCAGAGATTGGCCTGTAAGAAACAAATCTAGCTGAATAATTGCATATACTAGACATGGAAAATTTAATATAATGTAGCAAGAACTTAAGTAGCTATATATATATATTACAAAAATGAAAATATAATAATAGAGACCTTGGAAGAGTCTTTTCATGCAGAAAATGTGTATGCAATTTAATATATAATGAAGGAGGTCAATGTATGTGTTTTGTTAACCACAAACAGAAAAACAATGTAATCTATCTGGTTTGTTAGGCTGTTGGGTTTCTGTTCAAGTCAGGAGACAAATCTTTTGGTTTACGAGTACATGCCTAATGGAAGTTTAGGTGAAGTTCTTCATGGAAAGAAAGGGGGTCATTTCTATTGGGATACCAGGTATAAAATCGCTGTGGAGGCTGCCAAGGGACTTTGCTATCTACACCATGATTGTTCTCCACTTATTGTTCATCGAGATGTCAAATCAAACAATATACTTCTTGATTCTAATTATGAAGCCCATGTTGCTGATTTTGGGCTGGCTAAGTTCCTGCAAGATTCCGGAACATCCGAATGCATGTCCGCTATTGCTGGTTCATATGGATACATAGCTCCAGGTATTGTTCAAGCTCAACTTAACTGATGAATTATACATTGAACTTCCTTTTCCAAAATCATAACTGTATATTTAATCACTGCTCATAATTTTGACTAATTGACCAAACATAATGGTTTAGACTGTAGATTTTGACTATTTGATCAAGCATAAATGGTAGGTAGCACTGCATTATTTGATTTTTGTTTTCATAGCCCCACCGTTGATGTTTGGCAAAATGTCTAGTCTTAGCTTTTTCATATACTTTGTTTTGCACATGGTTTCTTATTAACATTAACATGGTTGCTATATTAGAGTTTTTGATAATATGATGTATTTATGAGTTTGATATATGATTGCAGAGTACGCGTACACTTTGAAAGTTGATGAGAAAAGCGATGTCTACAGCTTCGGTGTCGTTCTGTTAGAGCTTGTAACTGGAAGGAAACCAGTAGGAGAATTTGGCGACGGTGTGGACATTGTGCAATGGGTGAGAAAAATGACAGACTCCAACAAAGAAGGAGTTCTAAAAGTCCTAGACCCTAGACTTTCATCAGTTCCACTTCATGAAGTCATGCATGTTTTCTATGTAGCCATTCTGTGTGTTGAAGAACAAGCAGTAGAAAGACCAACTATGCGCGAAGTTGTTCAAATTCTGACCGAGCTTCCAAAGTCACCAGAGTCTAAACTAGGAGACTCAACAATTGTTACTTCTTCTGCTTGTTTTCATATCTTCACTACATTCATCATCAAAACATGCAAACGCTTATCCTCTATCAACACGATCAAGATGGATCATAGATGATTCAACAAATTCACGTGTGAAACTCGTTTGTGGAAACTGGGCTGGTCACCTTCAACCAATGATCCCCGAAGGTCTTGATAGAAGACCTATAAGAGAACTCGTTGGCGAGCTTGTGAAAAACAATTTCAATTGTGTGAGATTAACCTACGCGATTTACATGTGGACGAGACACGGTAATCGCATTGTTAATGATACTTTGAATGATCTAGATCTACCTGAGGTTGTCAACGGTATTTCTAAGTTTAATCCTTCGGTTTTGAAAATGACTCATATTGAAGCTTTTGATGCTGTTGTGGATGAGATTGGTTCACAGAATGTTAAGGTTTTGTTTGATAATCATGTTAGTGAACCTAAATGGTGTTGTGATGATGATGATGAGAACGGTTTCTTTCATGATAGACATTTCGATCCTCGAGAGTGGATTCATGGACTTACTTTGGCAGCCAAACACTTTCATGAAAATCATGCTGTATGTATATTCTACTTCCTTTACTCTTATCTTGAGTTCTACGCAATTCATCCATGGCAGTGCATTTTATTGTCGGTTTGCCTTATATTTTTTAACTGTAACATAACTTTGATTGGTTTTTAATCTATAAACAGGTTGTGGCGATGAGTTTGAGGAATGAATTACACGGTCCGCGCCAAAATCAAAGAGATTGGTACAAGTATATGAGTAAAGGAGCACTAGCAATCCATGAAACAAACCCTAATGTGCTTGTTGTTATCTCAGGTTTAAACTATGATACTGAGTTACAGTTTTTAAAGAAAAAACCAATGAACATAGACTTAGGTAAAAAAATGGTGTATGAGACACATTTGTATTCATGGTCTGGGATTGGAACATTGAAATTGAAAGAGATTTGGACAAAGCAACCATTGAATAGAATATGTGGAAATAGTATTGAAGGGTTGGATGAAAGAGCTGGGTTTCTTACAACCGGTGAGAATGCAGTTCCTTTGATCTTTAGTGAATTTGGATTTGATCAAAGTGGTTCTACGATTGAAGATAATAGGTTCTTGACATGTCTTCAAACGTACCTTGTTGGAAGAGATTTGGATTGGGGTTTGTGGGCTTTTCATGGTGGATATTATCTTAGAGAAGATAAAGTTCATCTTGATGAATCATTTGGTGTTGTAGATGCTACTTGGCATAGCCTTAGATACACTAACTTCACCCACAAGTTTCAACTTTTGCAAAGAAAGAATCAAGGTAAGAATTCTCACTATATTACTATAACATAGTTCAATTATTTATATTAGATCCAGGGTAATAAATTCCGGTTATAAATTGCTTCGCGATCTTTGATATTCCGGAGAATCATAGCTAAATGTGGCCAATAATATTAATTTTACAAGGCAATAGTTATGAAGCACAGACACTTCTAATAGTTAGTAGGTAATAGGTGTGTCGGCAGTGTTTAACATGCACCAGCATTTGACAATAATTTTCTCTGTCTTAAGAAAAACGGATAAATGAAAGAGACAATGTGTCTGTGTCCTCTTCTATCTCAGTGTCTCTCAGAGTCACATTAATTATGACAATATTGATTTGAATTGAAATTTTCTTGTGTTTCAAAATGCAGATCCTACATCGAAACACAATTTCATATTATTGTATATTTTGAGAATTTGAATTATATTCTGTTTAGTGTTTATATGCATCTAATAATGGAAATTGTGGTCTATATATTTACAAGTCATGTTCTTGTTAGACTTAATTAGTTCAATTATTGCATTAGTTATATCGATTTATTGTTATTAGTTTATAATAATCATTCCTTATTTTATGCGCTTCTTGTTAGACCCATATTAAATGTTTGATTATTCTTTATATGTTGAATTAGTTTTTATTGTACAATACATAATCAATATTCCTTCTATGATACAGGAAAACAAGAAGCAATTATTTTGCCTAATTAGTGATTGTATCTATGAGTTCAACGCTTTTGGATCATGAAGGTGGTTACTACATGGGATTGTTTTGTTATCCTTTCTTATTTTTTTGGTGTTTTGTTTAGAGAATTTGATTGTATGTTTTTGGATTTGGATTGAAGTACTCATAGATGGGCATCTACAAATTTGGCTATGCAAACGCCCTCTTAATATTCTATATGTTATGATATTTGGAAACAATAGGATTTGGTAATTTAAAATGTTATTTGGTATTTGATGGATCATAATATATATGCAATGAGTAACTTAAAGCGTTATTTGTGTTGAATTGAATATAGTTATTTTATATTTACACCAAAAAAAATGATTGTGTAAGAAAAAATATTGTACTGTACTTATTAAAAATATTGTACCAAATATGTACCATTTATTAGCACTTTATTAGAAAGCGCTATCAAACATATGTTATATATTAGCGCTTTTTGTTTAGAGTGCTATAAAAAAACAAACAAAAAACATGCAAAATACTGACTTTGATAGCACTTTAATTAAAACGCTATTATAAATTGGTACTTTAATAGCGCTTTTAAAGTGCTATTAAATAAGAAATATTTACAATAGTGGCGCGGTTAATAGCACTTTTAAGTGCTATCAAAAACAAAAAAAAGCGCTATTAAATAGCTTATTTGGCGTAGTGAAAATAATTAGAAGGAGTTTAGTAGGGTTTTGGGGTTCTGTCTAGAAAGGCAATAATTTTTTGTTGTCAAACAAAATTTAGGGGAAATACTGGTGCATCTGAGACAATGTGACATGAATTGGAAGGGTTTCTGAAGAAGTGTCTCTAGAAAAGTTTGGTTTCATGAGAGATGGTTAGGGCTCAGAAGAAGTGGCTTATGAGATATTTGGCTTTTATAGGTTTAGCAGATTTATTGTTCCAGGCATGGAAATAGAAGAGGGTGTAGAGGTTTTAAGGATGAAAGAATTTGATGAATTAATAAAAGAAATTTTTTGTAGAGATTTGTTGGAAATAGAAGTATCAACAAAAGTTTTGACTTCTTCACCATTGAAAAATCTACCTACCATGACTAATGGCTGACGTTGTAGATTCAAAGAATCCACAAGCTTACTCTCAATCAAATATTTAGTAATTAATCTTCCAAACGGAATCAAATTCGTTTTCCTCTTACTTCTTTCTATGCAAATTCTAATTGAATCTTGAAGATACTTGAATAGAATAGCCGGTAAGTTCACCTTCTTTCCTTTTCTCGAATAGCGTAGCATGAACTTTTGATCCAAAGTGACGTGATTAGTAGAATTAGTTACATCCTTGTGGTGAATGCATCGAGAAAATATTTTGAACCAAACCCTTAGATCATTAAAAATATTTTTTGCCTTACTAGAATCTTTTCTATCTTTGAAGATAGAAGGAATGATCTCAGCTACAATGTTTGCATAAGCTTGATTATGCGTATTTTCCATAACAAACGCATTGTTATAGCACCGAACAACGGTACCATCATGTTGAAGAAGTTTAAAAATATCATCTTCGATGATGTAAACTCTTTGACCCATAACACTAGAGCAAACATACTCATTATCCGTCAAATAAGCATGCACCCAAACTCCTTAACCAGTTCGGGATAAAATGGCCTCTTCAGACACTTAAAGTAAGTTTCCCATCTTTGAAACTTAACCACTTCAGAAAGATTGTATACATGTGCAAAAAGGTTCTCAAAATCAACTATCAATTCTTCAAGTATATATGATAAAACATCTAACAAGGATAGCAAAACAACAAGAAACATGTATCAAGTATAGATGACAAAACATCTAACAAGGATGGAAAACCATCAAGAAACATGTATCAAGTATAGATGACAAAACATCTAACAAGGATGGAAAAACATCAAGAAACATGTATGAAGTCGGAAGCTAACATACAAGGTCAGTATCCTAAAAAGGTTTCACATGACCCTATAACAAACTTCCAAAAGCATACTCAAAAGCTAGCCCAAAAACTAGCTAGGTCAATACCACACCCAAAATCAAAGTTAAAGTAAAATAAGAACAAAGATAGGATAAATTAAGAGGGCATGTTTAGAAAGGTTCTAAAGCATGCAAGTCAGTAGAAAAAAGTATTTTTAAGAAAAACCACTCAAGCATCACAAATAATGGATGAAGATTGCACATAAAACATACAAGAGGGAAGGCCATGAGAGGCAAGCAAACATTGATCAAAGAAAAGTGAGTTAAAGGCATGAGAAAATATGGATAAATGGATCACAATATCACCAAGTCAGTAGCACATTATATGTCAAAAGTTAGCTTAAAACTATTCACACAAGTTCTCACGTACAAGCATTTGGGTCAAGGAAAAATCCTATGCATACCTCTAAGTAAACATTAGGTTAAAAATAGGAAAAGGACTTGTAAATTTATGTAAATTTAACCCTAGCTTACTAAAGACTTATAAAAGTCAGGAACATAATTTGAAGTTCTCGAATTGACTTGAAAAAGTGAAAATAAATTGAGATCACCAAGACTAGTTAGCAAAAGGCTCAAACTAGAGAGGTTTAACAAAATAATTTGTCAAAAATGTATGATCAAAACTTAAGTTTAACAAAAATGTTTTTTACTATCTTAAGTTATCCAAGTATCTCAAAAATATTTTCTTTGATTTTTAGAAGCAATGGGAATTGGAGAAGTAAATGTTTCTTTAGGCTTAAGCAAGAAATAGGACCAAAAACAACAATTAAATTGAACAATTTTTAAAAATAGGAAAACTGAAATGTAAATTCAATTAAAAATCATTAACAATTAGATACATACCTAAATAACACTAAACATATTTTTTTGGAATTTTATCTTGAAAGAAAAAATTAAAACAGAAAATATTTGCACAATGCAACAAAATTTAGCAAAAAGAATGACACAACTAAACAATTGATTTAATTAGTGTGTCACAAATTTTGTAAAATAGGAAAAAAAAATTATCTTCATTATTTACACTCAAGAGACATCTCATAATATATTTTGTGTATTTTTTAGGTTAGTAAAAATTATAAAATAAAATTCTAAAACCTAAAAGATGATTAAAACCCTAATTAAACTAATTGAATTATTTAATCATATAAAAATGACAAAATCATGAAATAAAATTAAAAATATTAAAATAGACTAAAAATAAAGTCTATAATATTTTTATGATAATTTTTTAATAGTGGAAACTATTTAAAATAATTTTGGTAAAACAATTTAAATGAATTAAAATTCAAAATAAAAGAAGATCAACTACACCTGATCTAATCAAAACGTGTTGTAAAAAAACCTTATGCATGCACGAATCAAAACGCGCCACTTCTTCGTCCCTACCAAAACACCAAACCCTAACGATTTTTTGGAGTTTTATCAAGCAATGTTCATGCCACAATTTCTCACTCGTTTCTCCCTGAATTTGCCAAATGTAAACACCAAACCTCAAGATCTAAATGAGTAGAACATGATAGGATCAAGAAAATCATAAAAAGATGCATGGATCATAAAGAAAAAGCCACGTGAAAATCACTGCATGAACACCATTTCAAAATTTCAAAACAAACAAACAGATTTTAGAACCACATATCTCACTCGTTTCTTAACCAAATCGTTTGATCTAAACATCAAAACTCATCACAAAAATGCAAGGAATATGCACATGCTCTTAGATTCACCAAATTAGGTAAGATCTAAGCAAAAACTGAGCGCGAAAACAATGGATCCAGGGATTTTGAAGGAACTTACTGAACAAGAATCAAGCAAAGAATTCAACCAATTCATACATCAGATCTAAGATCCGACCAGCTAGCATGATAAGAGAAAAATCTACATTACAAATTCATGCTGAAATGAAAAGTTGAAGTTCATGGAAACTTGCCTCAAGGAGTGAAAAATAAATTCACTCTACGTTTCTGATTTGGAGAAGAAATATGATAGATTTTCTCTTTCAACTTCAATGGAGCAGAACTAGGCAAGGATTGAAACTTGAACAAAGAACTTGAGAGATGCTTAAAGAAACGAATTTTAATTTTTTTGAAGAAGATGAAGCTTCTTGAGAGAGAATGGTGCTGAGAAACACTTACGAATTTGGAGTGCCTTATGAATGAGAGAAGCCTCTCTCAAAAAGGAGGAGGAAGAGTGTTGGAGAAGTTTTGTTGAGGGTATGAAAGTTTTTTTATGCTTGGAGCCATTAGAGGACAATTGTGTCAAAGCTAGCAGATTTAAGTGAAGCAATGTGAGGCTTGTGTTTTGTGTTGTTGTTGTTTGTACTTGCAATTGTTTTAGGAGTGAATAGAGAGTGGAAAAGGAGTGTTATGCATGTAATATACTGAGCTGGCAACATGTATTTTAGACATACATAAGGCTTGCAACAAAAGTATCCCAACTTCATACAAAATTGAAAACATCATGTTGCCTGAACATCACATTATTCCCCTCACTTCTGAACCTTATATTTCAGTAATCTCTCATGCGGTTTGCAAGTTCTTGAGGCCTATGGAAAGCTCTCATGATGTGGATCAACATTGTAGTTTATGAAAATGAGAGATGAGGTTTGTAAATGAGTGAAAAGTTGGTCTGCATGCATGGAAATATTATAACATGAGGTCCCAAATTCCAAGCAATGTATCTTTCTCCATTTTTACCCAATTGATGTGATTCAAAGATCATTTGATAGCTTACACATCCAATTATAACTCCTCTTTT